CTCTTTAACAAGTGGTGCTGGGAAAACTGGTCAACCACCTGTAAAAGAATGAAACTAGAACACTTTCTAACACCATACACAAAAATAAACTCAAAATGGATTAAAGATCTAAATGTAAGACCAGAAACTATAAAACTCCTAGAGGAGAACATAGGCAAAACACTCTCTGACATAAATCACAGCAGGATCCTCTATGACCCACCTCCCAGAATATTGGAAATAAAAGCAAAAATAAGCAAATGGGACCTAATTAAACTTAAAAGCTTTTGCACAACAAAGGAAACTTAAGCAAGGTGAAAAGACAGCCCTCAGAATGGGAGAAAATATATAGCATATCTTTATTCATCTGTTGATGAGTATTTAGGGTGTTTCCATGTCTTGGCTATTTTAAACAGTGCTGCCATGAACACGGGTGCATGTATCTTTTCAAATTATAGTTTTGTTGAGATATATGCCCAGGAGTGGGATTACTAAATCATATGGTAACTCTATTTACAGATTTTTGAAGAACCTCCGTAACTGTTTTCCATGGTGGCTGCACCAGTTTATGTCCCCACTAGCAGTGTAGGAGGGTTCTCTTTTCTGCACATCTTCTCCAGCATTTGTTATTTGTAGACATTTTAACAATGGCCATTCTGACCAATGTGAGGTGGTACCTCATTGTAGTTTTTATTTGCATTTCTCTAGCAGTTAGCAGTGTTAAGCATCTTTTCATGCACTTATTGGCCATCCATGTTACTTCTTTAGAGAAATATGTATTTGTGATCTTATGCCCATTTTTTGATGGATTGTTTGGTTTTTTCTGTTACTGAATTGCATGAGCTGTTTGTCTATTTTGGAAAATTAAGTCCTTGTTGGTCACATCATTTGCAAATATTTTCTCCCATTCTGTAGGTTGTCATTTTGTTTCATTACTGGTTTCTTTGCTTACAAGTTTGGTAAGGTTCCCTTTATTTCTTTTTGCTTTCTTTTTTTTTGTATTGGTAGACTGACCTAAGAAAACATTGGTATGATTTATGTTAGAGAAAGTTTCACCTAATAAGTTAATTGAGATGTTTTTATTACTTATAATGATAGAACCATAATCGCTTTGACAGTATCCTGATGTCCTCTCATCACTGTGCATGATTCCACTGTTTTCCCCATCTTTATAAATCATAACACCAGACAGTTCTTGGTTTAGATCAGTTTAGAACTTGGTTTAGAACTTGGAGTCAACTTTGATTCTTGTTTTTCTCTCTCCTCATTCAATCCACCTGCAGTATCGTCTCTACTCAACCTTCATGGCATGTCTAGAAATGACCTCTTCTCATCCTTTGCACCTGGCGTGCATGCATGCTCAGCTGTGTCCGACTCTGTGACCCCCCTGGTGGTAACCCTCCACAGTCCTCTGGCCATGGGATTTCCCAGGCAAGCATAATGGAGCACGTTGCCGTTTCCTCCTCCAGGACTGGCCTGAGCCAGCCATTGCTGTGTCTTCTGTGGATGATTTTAGTTAGTCTACAGTGGTCTCTTCTTTCGTGAGGAGACCACGCCCTTGAATCTCCCTTGATTCAGTTCTCATCAGGACAGCCAGAGGGAGGCTGCTTGAAATATGTAATACATCACTGTACCCTCTGCTCCAACCCCACCCAGGGCTCCAGTCCCTCCCAGGAAATCCAGAGCCCGCAGAACGGCTTATAAGGTGCCAGTGTTCCTGACCCCCTTATCTCTCTACATCTTCTCCTCTGTTTCCTGTTATTCTCTGATTTCCACCCACCCTGGCCTGCCTTTTCTCTGCCACATACCCACTTTCCCCAGACACACTCATAGTTCACGCCTTTCTTCCTTTCAGGTCTCTGCTTAAATGTAAACTCCTCTGAGAGTTTTTTTTCACTTACATAAAATAGTGCCCCTTCCAACAGTTTACCTCTCTTACATTTCTCATGTTCCTCACAACACTTAACCTCACAGACACTATCTTTTTAAATTCATCTGTTGACTGTCACAGACAGCAGGGCTTCATTTTGTTCACTGATATATCTCCAGCACCTAGAACAAGGCTTGGCATGTATGATTCACACTCAAAAAAAACCCAGCAACAACAAAACATTTGTTCAGTGAATGAATAAATGGGTTATATACTTTTGAATCAAGACTACCTGAGTCATAATCATGAGTTGTTTCTACCTAGAAGAGGTAAGGAATTAACTTACCTCCAACCCTCACATTCCTCCTCAAGTGGGCATAGTGATACTACGTGTGGGTATTGTTAGAATTAAGTAAGATTATCCAAGTAAACATGTTCAGCACAAAGCCCTTCACAAAGAGAGATTCAATAAAAATTTGATAAGTCACTGAATGTTGAAAAAAATGAAACAAAAGGCATCAAATGATTTTGAGGGGAAGTATCTTGCAAGATTTTCCAAGCTAATGACATGAGTAAATTCAGATAATCTCCAAGCATTAAATAGAATTTACAGTGCCCTAATTCAGTTCTCTATAATATTAAACATTTCATGATTAAGAAGTATCTGTGTGTTTTATAACTTACCAAATGAACCATATTTCTGATCAATCTAAAGCATTTGACAGGAGGCTTGGGAGCCTTTGTGGCTTTTGGCTAACCCCCTGAGAGCAGGCTTGGTAGAGAGATTGACACTTTTCAATGAGTACCTTGTCCCCAGGAAAGGCTGCTATAGTTTAACCTGCAGAGAGGGCCCTTTTATGGCTCTATTCACATGGCACATGCCTCCCCTGGGAGGGCTCTCAGCTTAGATCTGAGCCCTTTACATCACAATAATCCTGAGATAAATTAATTTGGACAATCCTATCATCCTGGACATCCTTGTCAGTCTTTCTGTCCTCTGCTGAGCTCTTTCCTCCCTCACCTCCTGGCCCAGACTCTTCTAAGTCTTTGTGTCTTGTGTCCCTACCTCTTCCATCCCAAGACTTTAAATGAAGCCCAAAGACAGCCACTTTTCCCCTCCGTAACAGCTTGAGATTTCCGTCCTCCCTCTGGTACTAACATCTCTGTTTTTCTCTGATGAGGGCGTTTGCCTGCTGAGGTTAGCCCAGGCTTGTGCTGCTGATGCTTTTGTACTTCATCCTCCCCAGGCTCTGGAGGTAGGTTGGAATTTTTCATCAGTTTTTCTTGCTAGAGGACTTTGTGCTGTGATGAAAGTGTTTCCTGTATTTCCATGCTGTCCAACGTGATGTGTGTGCCCAGGCTCTCAGTCGCATCCAACTCTTTGTGACCCCATGGACTGTAGCCTGCCAGGCTCCTCTGTCCATGGAATTTTCCAGGCAAGAATACTGGAGTGGGTTGCCATTTCCTACTCCATGGTCCAACATGGTAGCCACAAGCTAAACGTGACTGTTGAACACTTGTTTGGTGTAACTTAAGAGGTAATTTTTAAGTTTTATTTTATTAATTGAAATTGAATGGCCAAAAATGGCTAGTGTCCACAGTATTAAACATCACAGTTCTAGACCTTTTCTCCTCCACCTTCAAGTAAAAGGATATGGTACGTTGGATTCTAAAGATACCACCCTCTACCCTTTAACCTCTGACTCATTTAACCTCAGGTCATCAGCTGGATTGATCAATTCTTAGTCTCCTGGATTGCTGTCATGGATTCCATTTCAGGTCTTACCATGACTCTGGGTAACTTCAACTTGTACACATGCAACACCTGTTCAGCGCCTGATGCCCCGGTTTTTAATGTTCTTACATTTAATTTACTCTGCCCCTTAAGTGACTCACACCTGAAATATTAAATCCAAACCATGCCATCTTCTGACAGCCATGCTACATAACTGAGAGGAGAAAGGTTAGATAATGACCTTATTCGCCTCTTAGATGGCCCCTCTATTAGAAAATATTCCCTGATGCTTCAGTTTATATTTAAGAAATCTTCTCTGCTAAGTACCACCACTGAGCTGCTGGTCCATAACAGTGTAGCTCTTAATACTATTTAGCATAATATCAGTGTATTATAGCACTTAACAATATGTGACTGTAGCTATCTCTCAGTTTCTGTATTTTCCCACTAGAGCACACAAAAAACTTTTGTATTCACGTCCTGCTACAGAACAATCACATGGAAGGTTCTCAATCAATGAGTGAAGATAGGAGCTGATGAATCAATGAATGAATTCATTTTGTTTGGTGAGGGATGAGACACAATAACTTATGAACAGATCCCTGAAAACCTGAGAATCAGAGTAATTATGGATGGTGATCTGAATAAAGAAATTGGGTTGTATTCCATCTCCTAGTAATCAGA